GGGGATTTGGGGGGTCAAAAGGGGGATTTTGGGGGTTAAAATTGGGATTTTGGGGGTTAAAATTGGGGTTTTTGGGGTCGAGACGGGGATTTTGGGGGTTAAAATTGGGATTTTGGGGGTCAAAATTGGGGCTTTTGGGGTCGAAACTGGGATTTTGGGGGTCAAAATGGGGATTTCGGGGGTCGAACTTGGGAGTTTTGGGGTCCAGACGGGGATTTTGGGGGTCAAAACGGGGATTTTGACGATCAAAACCGGGATTTTGGGGGTCAAAATGGGGATTTCGGGGGTCGAACTTGGGAGTTTTGGGGTCCAGACGGGGATTTTGGGGGTCAAAACGGGGATTTTGACGATCAAAACCGGGATTTTGGGGGTCGAAATTGGGATTTTGGGGGTCAAAATTGAGATTTTTGGGGTCAGGATGGGAATTTTTGGGGCCAAAATGGGAATTTTGGGGGTCAAAATGAGAATTTTGGGGGTCCTGATGGGGATTTTGGGGGTCCAAACGGGGATTTTGGGGGTCCGGATGGGAAATTTTGGGGTCGAAACGGGGATTTTCGGGGTGGGAATTGAGATTTTTGGCGTCGGGATGAGAATTTGGAGGGTCCGGATGGGGATTTTGGTGGCCCAAATGAGGATTTTGGTGGCCCAAAGGAAGATTTGGGGGGTCCAAAGGAGAATTTGGGGGGTCCTGGAGAGGATTTGGGGGGTTCCGAGCTGGGGGTTGGGAATTTGGGCCACCCGAGGGGGGATTTTGGTGGCCCAGCTCCAAATCTTGGTGGCCAAACCTCCAACTTTGGTGGCCCGACCCCAAATTCCTCTCTCCAGACCCCAAATCTTGGTAGCCCAATGCCCTATTTTGGTTGCCCGACCCCAAACTCCTCTCTCCAGACCCCAAACTTTGGTTGCCAGATCCCAAATCTTGGTAGCCCAAGGCCCTACTTTGGTTGCCCGACCCCAAACTCCTCTCCCCACCCCCTAAATCTTGGTAGCCCAATGCCCTATTTTGGTTGCCACACCCCAAATCTTGGTAGCCCAAGGCCCTATTCTGGTTGCCAGACCCCAAACTCCTCTCCCCACCCCCTAAATTTTGGTAGCCACCCCCCAAACTTTGGTAGCCACCCCCCAAACTTTGATACCCACCCCCCAAACTTTGGTAGCCGCCCCCCGTATTTTGATAGCCACACCCCCAGTGACCGCTGTGGTGGTAGCCCATCTGCCGGGGTTGGTAGCCCAGCTGGGGGCAGGGCTGGAAACACACGGTGACCCTGGCGAAGGGCCTGGCCGCCATCTTGGACATCTCCTGGCGGTGCCGCCGGCGCTCGTGGCGAGCGTCCAGGCCCTGCTTGGCTTTCCAGAGCAGGACGCAGACGGCCAAAAAAAGGAAGAAACAGGAAAAAAACACCGAGAAGAAAACGAAGAGGTCGATGTGGGCTTGGTCCTGCCGGAAAAAAAGGAGCCCCTGAGAAGGTTCCGGGCCACCCAGGACCAGCAGGTAGAACCTGGTGGACTTCAGAGGGTGGCTAGCGTGGGGGTAGGTGAGGACCAAGCGGTCGCGGACGCCCCGGACCACCAAAGCCGGCACGGGGTGGCCGACGGTCAGGTAGGTGACCAAGCCTTGGGCTCGTTCCTCCAGGAGACGCGGGGGGCTGGCGGAGGGGGGTTTGGGGCTACCTGGGGGAGAGGTTTGGCTACCGAAGGGTGCTGGGGGTGAGAGGGTTGGTTGGTCGGTGAGAATGGTTTGGCTGGTTTGGCCACTGAAACCAGTTTGGCCGGTTTGGCTACTGAAACCAGTTTGGCCACTGAAATCACCCCTGGGACCTCCAGGGCCACCAGTTTGGCCACTGAAACCAGTTTGGCCACTGAAACCGACTCCTGGACCTCCAGAACTTCTGGGGTCAGCACCTTGACCAGTGTGACCAGTGTGACCAGTTTGGCCACTGAAACCGACTCCTGGACCTCCAAAACCTCTGGGGTCACCACCTTGACCAGTTTGGCCACTGAAGTCACCCCTGGGACCTCCTGGGCCACCAGTTTGACCAGTTTGGCTACTGAAACCAGTGTGACCAGTTTGGCCACCAGGAGCAGCTCCAGGACCTCTGGGGTCCCCAGTAAAACCAGTGGGACCGGTGGGACCGGCCCATGAGGTCTCCAAGGTGCCACCACCGGTCCCCGAGGTGCCACCACTGGTCCTGAAGGTCTCAGTTCCCATCCCCGAGCTGTCCCCAAAGGTCCCCGAGGTGCCACCACCGGTCCCCAAGCTATCCACGAACCCCCCCGAGATGCCACCACTGGTTCCTGAGGTGCCACCACCTGTCCCCAAGGTATCCATGAACCCCCCTGAGGTGCCCCCACCGGTTCCTGAGATGCCACCACCCGTCCCAAAGCTATCCACGAACCCCTCCGAGATGCCACCACCCGTCCCCAAGATGCCACCACCTGTCCCCAAGGTATCCACAGACCCCCCCGAGATGCCACCACTGGTTCCCGAGGTGCCACCACTGGTCCTGAAGGTCTCAGTTCCCGTCCCAAAGCTATCCACGAACCCCTCCGAGATGCCACCACCCGTCCCCGAGGTGCCACCACCGGTTCCTGAGATGCCACCACCCGTCCCCAAGCTATCCATGAACCCCCCCGAGATGCCACCACCTGTCCCAAAGCTATCCACAAACCCCCCCGAGATGCCACCACCGGTTCCCGAGGTGCCACCACTGGTCCTGAAGGTCTCAGTTCCCGTCCCAAAGCTATCCACGAACCCCTCCGAGATGCCACCACCGGTTCCTGAGATGCCACCACCCGTCCCCGAGATGCCACCACCCGTCCCAAAGCTATCCACGAACCCCCCCGAGATGCCGCC